TCACCCTGTTCTGCCTGAGGGGATTTGTATGACGGCAGCCCCTGCATAAGTATCAGCCTTGGCAGTGCAGAGTTTCAGAAACAACATGTAGGATAAGCGCTCTAGCTCCCAGCAGAAGAACTTGCCAACTACTGTGGATGAAGTCACTGTAGCTGGGAAAACCAAAAGCAGAAGGTGGCACACTCACTTGCTTAGCATGGCAATTTCCCTGTGTTGGCAAAACCCCACAGTGCCATCTCTTTGTCATTGCATTTGGCAGCCACTTCGACCACAGCTATGCCATGAGCGCCACTGCCCAGTTCTTAATTTCTCTGTTAGGGCAACACATGGTAAACAACCCCTGCCTGAATGAAGGCAGAAACATACTTTTTCTCTCCAGACCCATAAGGAAACCCACTTCCTATTTTGAAGAACAAATTCAGGCTTGGACAGGCTGCAACTTCCCACCTGTACTCACACACACATACGCTAGAACTGGAGCTCTTGCTCAGGATAGAATACAGGGCAGCCCAAATGCTTGGTTTTCAGCAAGGAATGGTTTTACTAGGTCTAATGGAAACATACCAGAGTGCTTAATCCCAGCTTGCCTAGATGTATACAGCCACTGAACACAAAATGCTGTGCTCTGGCTTGTGGCATCATTCCCCTAATGATGTCATGCATGGGTAAGTGTCTTGTGTGGAGGAAGAGGAGGAAGAGAACATGTACCTGAAGCTGGCTGACAAAATATATCATCACTTTAATTACACTATTTCCTGGTACAGTGTTTCATCACCACCCCCCCCATCTGGAAGAAAGTGAGGAACTGAGAATTGCTGTTGCTGGAAATACACAGCTGGGTGTTGTTTAGCAGCAGTTTAGCATCTCATAATCAAACTAATGCTCATGCTTTAGAGTGATGCTTGTAACATTTAAACAGTTGCACTAGCATTAAACATTTAACTTCCCACCCCAATCTGATGGAGATCAGTTCTGGAAAAACAAAGGTGGGTGAAATGTCTTCCTGAGACAAGATGGTAACATCATTCCACTATAATATATTATTTCAAGGAATTTTTAAAAAGCTCGTTTTATTAGAAGTCTGCTGCAAGTCTCCCAGTGACCTGGAATAGCCTCCTTGTTGTCTAACAAGAGTACAATTTTGTTCAGCACCCAGCATCTTCATCCATCTGATTGTAGAAACTGAGTAAACACCAAATCCACCCCCTGCCAGACCTTTGACTGATCCCACATGGGTGTGTCTGAGCCCAGCATGGTGATGTGAGCTTTGTGTTGAATGCAGGAGATTTGGCATGTCAGCTCCTTTCAGAGAGGAGGAAAGGGATGATGCTAGGAGTCCTTGCTAGGACATTGGTAATACATACAAAATGTCTCTGTTACTGCCATTTACTCATTGCATCCCTCCTAGGAGAAAAGCTTAGCTATACAATGATTTGCATGTGGCTATCCTCACACAGTGACACTAAAAAAGAAAAAAAGCCCATCTCCCCTTCTGCTTCCATTTAATGTGGTAGTTTTTATGGTCTCTAGCATGTAAGAAGTAAATAAGAACACTGGAAATAACAAGTAGCCGAGCGTAGGGACACACCTTCCTCTGAGGTTACCCAAGCCCTTTTTCCGTTCCGCATTAATGCCACAGCTGATGGTGTCTGTAGGGTGCAGACTGTGAAGAGGAAGCTTGTGATGGCAGAGAGGTGTACCTGGTAAGAGACAGTGGCTGGAGTTCTTTTGTAGGAAGGTATAGCTGAAGTTTTTGTTCACATTTCTGCAAACTTCAGATTGAGTGATTGAAACTTGTTCTCAGGTTAGGCCAGTCTTTTTGAAAAGCATCAGGGAGGGCATCTTTACAAAGAATCCACAGAAATATCCTTAAATTTGGGGAGTACCCTCATTTCTTTTTTGTGGGCATGATCTCAGAACCTGATTGGAGGATCAAAGCAGGCCTTGTCATTCCTGGAAGAAACCAGAAGCAGACAGCAACCTGATGAAACCAGTGCCTGAACCAAGGCGTAGGGAAATATTTTCAGCTATGGCACTTGGAAGGAAAACGTGGATAGTTATTAAAGTACCTCTTGTGTTTCCCTTTTATGTCCTTTGATATATTGAATTATGCAAATTTCTAGGCCCTTTCTTAACCATTGAGTGTGTATAGGACAGCATGGAATAATGTCTCTCTTGGCTGACACATAGCAAAGTTGTTCTTACCTCATCCAGGGGTTACCAATGCAACCATAAATACAAGGCTGAGTTTAAGAGGCTCTCAGTTGCAGAGAGGGATGGCAGCCTCTGTTTTGTTTATGCTAACACAGAAGGATTGCTTGTGGTTTACATCAGGTAAGTGCGTGCATCAGGGGCCAACATGTTCAACATGGGGACAAAAAAAGGTACTGACCTCTGCTTCTGCCAGCTCCCAGCAGCAGGACTAGGGGATTGGGGATGAGGTACTGAAATGGATGGGGTGCTCTGGGCCAAGAGAATGGTGATATCAGTGGTAAAATAGTCCTAGCATGAGTAACTGCAGACACTGGGGGTTTGAATTTTTATTACCAGCCTTAACATCCTAATTTCAAGGAGAGACTAAGACAGTGAGCCCCTTCACAACTCAGCTAGACAGTCTGAGGGGATGCTGAATTTCTGTTCTGGTGGAGATGTTTATGCTTACCCATCTCTGCTCTCTACTCTGCAGCTGTGGTTGACATTTGCTCCTGTGGCTGATAAGACAGCTGCTTATTTCCACATTTCCCTGGAGATGGTCAACTGGCTCTCAATAGTGTACCTCCTCATCTCGATCCCATTTGGTCTGGTGGCAACGTGGGTTCTCGACAGCGTGGGGCTCAGATGTGCTGTGAGTTGAACTGTTCTGTTTCCCTGAGGGCGTTTCACCTATAGATATCAGTAGCTGTGCAAAGTACTAACATGCATACTATGAATGGGAGTCTTGGCAAATGCTGCAGAGGATGAGCATGTTGAAAGGTCTGTCTTAGTTCAGTAATAGCTATCACATCACCTCTGAGCTGGGGAGCAGTGGGAAAAGTCAGAATAAAGGCATCCCTACTTGCCTTTTCCTGCTTCAGTTTTTCTTGTCTTAGCCAACTGACAGGGACAGATGCTGCGAGCTGACTCTGTGAAGAGCTTGCTGTAATTGGCTAGGATTTGCTATGGGAAAGTGTTAGCACAGCTGTTTTGTTTGCAGGGCCAGTTTAAGGAGCAGCACAGTAGGGTGCAAGCAAGGGACCCCTGTCAGCTCAGAGCTTGGTCTATGCTAAGCCAGCTTGGGATCTCTACACAGTCTTCCCAGAAGCAAGAGTGTTGTGGAATGTGGCACTGAAACACTAGCATGCTAGTGGTATAGAAGAGCATTTGCATGATCCATATGCTGGATGACTCACTGCCATGATCTGTGGATTGTCACAGCAAAATATGGGTGATGGCGCAAACTTGCAAACAGACTGTAATTAGTGTACTTTGGATTTCTTATCCATTCCATGACAGCGTCTGCTGTCTTGCATAACCTACATTGTGGTGTAGTTCTTGTGTGGGGCCAGGACAGCCACCTTCCTCCCTAAGTAGACAGGTAACTCATTCACTGTTCGATCAGAAGCATCTTGCAGTGGCGCAAAGGGGTGGGGGTGGTCTGCAAGCAACTTTCCATGCAGTGATTACTAACACCCAGTGCCTCCTGTAGTGCATCTGAGACCCGGCTCATGCTACTCTGTTGCATTAAGTTCTGCCCTTCAGGCTTCAGCACACAACCTCTGGCTGTTTCTGCTTGCTGCAGGTGATCCTGAGCGCGTGGCTGAACATGACGGGTAGCATCATCCGGATGTTCAGTGTCCTGAAGTTCCTGAGCTTGGGTTCCCAGAGTTACTGGTACCTGTTTGTTGGGCAATGCCTTTGTGCACTGGCACAGCCCCTTATCATCTTTTCACCAACAAAACTGGCAGCACTGTGGTTCCCAGACCACCAGCGAGCGACAGCAAATATGATCGCATCAATGTGTAAGTGATAGCTGCAAAGTAATATTGCTGCCTCCTAGAACTTGCTAGCATTTGTTTGCCCTTTCAGAGGCAGCAGGCGGAGGGAACCCTCTGTCCTACAGCCATTTGGCCCTGCAAATACAGCTCCTCCCAAGGGTGTCATAGCCATGTGCAATAAACCAGTGCCTTCAAGGCTCCACAAGACAGGCACGCATTTCCATGCTGGGGAGCAAGAAGTGGGCCTTAGCCACATCCAGGTGCCAAGTTCAAGGTAAGATATGCAGGCTCCCAGCCTTCTTCCTCTCTGCCATGACAAGGTGATCATCTTTGCCTAAATATCATAGAGGTTGGGGACAGCCCTCAGTGTTACTAAATCTAAAGTCTGTAATGGCCTTAATTCTACAGCTTGTTAGGAAGGTGCCCAAATTGCATGTGGTACCGGTGGTCACAATTACCAAATTCTGTAACCAGATAGAGGTGAGGGGCTGCTGCAGCAATTTTGTCCACCAGTTTGTCCAGTAGCAAGGCTGAGCATGTATTCCCAATTGCTGCGTATGCACACACAGATAAAATATTCTCAGCTGGCCACACAAACATGTTGGGGATGCTAAATGCAGCAGGACTACCCGCGCAGATAGCACGTCTGCCTTGCAAAGTGCCTGGAAGCTGGGAAACTGGAGGGGAGACACCAGATACTCTTGCTCTAATCTCATTCCTCTCTTGGCTCCTTTGGGCCCTGCTAGAGACAGGATACTGCACTTGACAGACCTATTTCCTCCCTCCACATGACATTTTCCCCAGCAGCCAGAAGAAATCTGTTCCTCCTTCCTCCAAGTACTTGAGAGGTGCCCCAGAAACTGGGCTGGTTCACTGGCTCTAGCTGGGAAATCTCACAGTACCTACACATGTAGGGGAGCCCCATCTGCCCTTCCCTCAAAATAGCCAACAGCTGCCTTCCCTCCCCACTGCCTTGGAGTTGTGGGGAAGGGATAGGTGTGGGGAAAAGGGCAGTATAGGACCACCCCTATACAGCTTTCCCAATGCTGCTGCAAACACAGAGCACAGACACTGTTGTTTAGCAAGAATGGATTTATGGCGTCAGAACAAATAAATTCTTTTTGCACTGCCTGCCTTAGAATAGGGTGGACCTGATGGCTCACCTTGTTTCCTAGGGCTGAGATGGACCTTCACCTTCCCTGCTGGAGAAGGAGCTCTGTTGTCAGTGTGGTGCAATACAAGTACTACCAGGGACCCCTGGGCATTCGGTCTTTTGCTGCCCTGAAGGCCCCCAGCCTGCAGACAGCTTGCTCTTTTTAAGTGAGAGAGCAGCCAGAGCAGCCAAAGAGCATTTCTTTCACATAGTGTCCTCAGTCCTTACAGGACCAAATGGATCTAACTATGGGAAAGAATAAAACTGTAGAGCAAGGAACAGTGGAAACCCAAGACCTGAAGCTGTTCAATCTGTGGCATGTTGAGATATCAGTGTGAGGACTGAATAGGCTGTGATTATTATCTGCTCCAACACCTGCATATTTCTGTGTATAGGCTTCCATTAATAATGTCTGGTTACACCCATTACTGTCTGCTGTACAAAATCAGGATTTCAGTTCAAGAAAGTTTAAATATTGCCTAGAAGGAGCATCTGCTACAGCCCCAGTCATTTACTCCAGTGGTTAATTACCTCACTGGCAAATGTCTACATGTTACTTCTCATCTTAATGCTCCTTATCCCCCAGCTATTTGGTCTTGTTGCACCTGTTTGTCAGGTAGTTATGGACAGAGTCACCTCTTCTTTCCTTTGTCTAGAAAGACTTAACAACTCCATCGCAGTCACTTTACAGGCACATTTCCCTTTGCCTCTTTCCACATGTCTCCATGTCTGCCTGTTGCTCACATGACCTTTTTTGCTCAGCTTGCTCCAACTTATCAATACCCATTTCCTGTGTTAATGCCAGAGTGGCACTCAGCATTGCTGTACTGTCGATATCAGTGCTGCACACAGAAACTGGCTCTACAGCCTCCTGTCGGTATCCCCACAGCTCCTGTTAGTGCCTCTGGGTAGGCTTCCCTGTACTTGCAGACAAAAATGGACCCTGCATCCAGGATCCTTCTGAGCAGCTGAAATAACTATGACTCAGCTGTGCTCTTGAGTATTTATCATATTTTGGTCCTCCCCATCATTTGTAGAGACTTACTCACAGAGAAGCAGTGCAGGGCCAAGAACTGATCCCCTGTGAAGACCGTGAGAAATTCTCCTGTGTCAGGAGAAGAAAGACTTGTCTGAATCCACTGAAGTGGCCTCTGCTTCGTCCACGGGTTCTTTCTTCACTGTGGTCTGTCAGCATGTCATTTTTTGCACCCTGTGGAGTTTTAGTGCATCGGCATCGCTGTCCACAAAACACACAGCCCCAGTGTAGAGTACTGCAAGCTAATCCACCAGGACCCCTGGACCATAATGTACAGTGGATTAACTCCAGTGATCTCCTTTCCATTCTTAGTCTAGGTTCATATAATTTCTCTTCCCAGGAAGATAAGGCAGCTGAAACCCTGTTATTAGTCAGATAGTCTCACTTAGTCTTTTCAAATTTAGCCAGATAGTCTCACTTAGTCTTTTCAAATTTAGCCCAATGCTCACATTTCCACCCCTCGCCCATACCTTCTGGAACTGCTTCAGCATGCCGATAGTTCATGGAAACTAGTTTCATGACAGTAGTTTTCAGGCAGTCCCCTACAATGCCCAGAAGCATTTTACCCCAATGGAGAAGCTTTAAACCATCTCCTTGGAGACTGTTGTTTAATTGTGTCCGTGTACTTAGAAGCAGGTAACATTTCACCAGGATCATAAGCTAGTACTTTCCCAAGTACAGGACAGAAATGCTACAGTTGTTGTGTGGTATAGCTCTATTAATGATGCCTCAGCAAAATCATAGAACAGACAAGGTTGGAAGGCACCTTTTGGGATCATCTTGTCCAACCCGCTGCTCAAGCAAGGTTGGCTACAGAAGGTTGGCCAGGGCCATGTCTAGTCAGGTTTTGACTGTCTCCCAGGATGGAGATGTTGCAACTTATCTGAGCAACTTGTTTCAGTGTTCAACCACTGTCACAGTAAAAAAAGTTCATATTCAGACAGAGTTTCCTGTGTTACAGTTTGTGCCCATTGCCTCTTATCCTGCCACTGGGCACCACTGAGAGAAGTCTGGTTCCCTCTTTTTTACAAACTCTGATGAAGGTTCTTTTCTCCAGGCTGAATAGTCCCAGCTCTCCCAGCCTCTTTCCATATGAGAGATGCTCTGGTCCCTTAATCATGTCTTTGGCCCTTGACTAGACTTGCTCCATTAACTGCGTATCTTTCTTGTATTGAGGAGCCCAGCACTGGACTCAGCACTCCAAATGTTTCTCACCAGGGCTGAGTAGAGGGGAAGGATCACCACCTTCCACCTGCTGGCAATGCTCTTCCTAATGCAGCCCAGGATGCTGGTGGCCTTCTTTATCATGAGTTTGTGTTGCTGGCTCATGGTCATGTTGGTGTCCAACAGGACACCTACCCCCCACACCAGGTCCTTCTCTGCAGAGCTGCCTTCCAGTTTGTCAGCCTCACTGTGTACTGGTGGATGAGGTTATTCCTCCCCAGGGGCGGGACTTCACATTTCCTCTTGTTGAACTTCACAAGGTTCCTCTCTGCCCATTTCTGCAGCCTGTTGATGTTCCTCTGAATGGCAGCGTAGTCATCTCTTCTATCAGCCACTCCTCCCAGTGTCAGATCGTCTGCAAACTGGCCATGGGTGCACTCTGCCCTATCATCCAAGTTTTTCATTGAGGTTAAACCAATAGGCTTCAGTATCAGCCCCTGGGGTGCACCACTAGTCACTGGCCTCCAGCTGGACTTCATGCCAGTGATGATAATCCTCTGGGCCCAGCTGTTCAGTTGACTTTCAGTTCATCTCACTGTCCACTTATCTAGGTAGTACTTAGTCAGCTTCTGTGCAAGGATGTTGTGGGAGACAGTGTCAACAGCCTTAGTAAAGTTGAGATAAAACCCATCCACTGATCTCCCCTCATCCACCCAGCCAGTCATCTCACTGTACAAAGCTATTAGGTTGGTTAAGCATTTCTCCTTTGCTGACTACTCCTGTTCACCTTGTTGACCTTCATGTGCCAGGAAATGGTGTCCAGAATTAGTTGTTTCATGACCTTCCCACAGATCAATGTGAGACTAAAAGGCCTGGAGTTCCCTGGATTCTCCTTCTTGCCCTTCTTGAAGATGGGAATGATGTTCGCTGTCTTCCAGTCCTCAGGAGCCTCTTGGAGTTGCCGTGGCCTTTTAAAGATAACCAAGAATGGCCTTGTACTGAAAACAGCCTGCTCCCTCAGCACTCATTGGTGCATCCTATCAGTCCCATGGACTTGCGTATGTCTGGTCTATTTAATGTTCCCTAACCTGGTTCTCGTCCACTGAGGGTAAATCTTCCTTGCTCCAGACTTTACCTCTGGTCTCAGGGCTGAAGGCCAGTCTTACCAGTAAGACCGAGATGAAGAAGGCATTGAATACCTTGGCCTTTTCCATGTCCTTTTTCACTGTCTCCTGCCCCATCCAGTAGCAGGCCCACATTTTCCCTAACCTTCCTTTTGCTGCTAATGTACTTGTAGAAGCCATTCTTGTTGCCCTTGATATGTCTCACCAGACTCAGTTCCAGGTTGGCTTTGGCTTTCCTAACCCTATCCCTGCACACTAGTAGAAAATCAACTTCACTTGTTTGACTGCAGAACATTGCCTTAAAGTTAAAAAATTGTCTCCTGCAATTTTGGACGTTCCCAAGCTGAGTCCCAGGAGTGCTGCTTCACATGGTGCTCAGCTCCAGCCCCATAACAATGCAACCCCCTACTCCAGTATAGACAAGTGTCCAAGATTCTCTTCTGCCATGTGATTTTTGTAGTTGGTAGCAGAGATCAACTTGTATGCCAGCTTGGGCTTTACTGAGGAAATGTACTAACTTGAAAGATGGCAGGAATGACCTAGTGTCACTTTGGACAGCTGTCAGAGGGCTTTCCTGCTTTTCATGCCCTTTTGGCAAAGACGACCAACAGCATCCTGGTGACCATCAGGAAGAGCATTTGCCAGCTGCTTGAATGAGGTCCCCTGTCCACATCTGAAGAGCTGTGTCCAGTTCTACGCTCCTCAGTACAAGAAGGACATGGGCATATTAGTGTAAGTCCAGTTAAGAGCCACTAAGACAATTAAGGGAATGGAGCGTCTGTCATGCTAGCTGAGGCTGAGAGAGCTGGGACTGTTCACCCTCGAGAAGGCTCAGGGGGATCTTATCCGTATGTATACATGCCTAATGGCATAGGGGGAGTAAAGAAGGGAAAGCACTTCTATTTGTTACTGCTGCTATGTAACATCAGGACAGATGACATGGATTCATCCATCTTCATTTTGTCCCTGCAGCTTAGCATTTACTGAGGCAGCCTTGTAAGGGTGAGGACACCATAATTCGTAGATGAAAACCAGTTTACAGGAGTTAGGGGTTGAAGGGAAATTGATTTAAAGAATGTGCTTCATGGGGGTGAGGGAACAGATGTGGCAACAGTAAGACCACACAGTCAACTTCTCCAAATGTTCCCCTCCTGTTTTCTCTCTATGTATGCTCTCCCTATGTATTCTGTCCTAACTCATTGCTCTGCTGCACGCTGCAGCTCTGGTGCTGACTGACAGTAGGGGTGGACACATGATTCTGACTGCTTGCATGAAAAAAGTGTCTCTCTGTTTTATTTCCTTCCAGCCAATCCCTTGGGTATTCTTATAGCAAACGTGCTGTCACCTGTACTAGTTCCTGAAGGAAGGCACATCCCATTGATGGTAAATGAAAACTGCTTTTATCAGCCAGCTCGGCTGATTGGGGTCCAGCGGATTTATTTATTTGGAGGCAGTGAAGCTGGAAAGACTGGTAACATGTCTTTACTTTGTGTTGTGTAGCTGGTTGTTTATGCCGTACCAGCAGTAACAGCCTGTGCTCTAGCAACTCTGGGGATTCACGAGAAGGTTCCTCCAACGCCTCCTTCGGCCAGTGCCACCAACTCCACCTCTCAGCCATTCCTCACGGGGCTCAAAATGGTAAGTGCTGTAGCACAGAGAGAGACCAGTGCTGGAGTGAGGGATGCAGCCCTGCCAGACGGGGATATGCTGGGGAATCTGCTGACAAAGCGGACTCTAAACTCCACTACACCAAACCCACCATGGAAAGCCCCCTGAAGGAGACCAGGATCCCTTCCTTCCTCAGGGAGTGGAAGCTGCTTACAGCAAAGCAGTGCCTCTCTCGGTGTTGTGGTTTAACCCCAGCCAGCAACTAAGCACCACACAGCCACTCGCTCACTCCCCCCGCTCCAGTGGGACGAGGGAGAGAATTGGAAGGGTGAAAGCCAGAAAACTCATGGGTTGAGATAAGAACAGTTTAATAATTTAAGTAAAATGAAATAGAATAGTAGTAATAGTAATAGTAGTAGTAGTAGTAGTAATAATAATAATAATAATAATAATAATAATAATAATAATAATGTAATACAATAATAATATACAAAGCAAGTGATACAGTATACAATTGCTCACCACCTGCCGACTGATGCCCAGCATGTCCCCGAGCAGTGATTGCTGCCACCCCGGCGAGCTCTCCCCAGTTTATATACTGAGCATGATGTCATATGATATGGAATAGCCCTTTGGCCAGTCTGGGTCAGCTGTCCTGGCTGTGCCCCCTCCCGGCTTGTTATGCACCGGGCCGAGCACGGGAAGCTGAGAAGTCCTTGACTAGTGTAAGCACTACTTAGCAGCAACTAAACCATCAGTGTGTTATCAACATTATTCTCATACTAAATCCAAAACACAGCACTATACCAGCTACTAGGAAGAAAAATCAGCTCTATCCCAGCTGAAACCAGGACACTTGACTAGCTCAAACAGGCACATATGGGCTCACACAACCTGAGCCTTCTGAGCAGATGTGATAACAGGTAGGACAGCACATGGCAAAGTGAAGGAAGGATTTGGGCACTGAAGAGATCCTTCCTCTCTACATGGTCCCCATTTTAACTTGTCTTTTGGCTGAACTGACAGGAGAGAGCCAAACTCCTCTAATGATCACAAGGCTGCCCTGTCAACATTTCCAAATAAGGGGTCAGAGCCACTGACCCTCAAGTCTACTGTCACAGCCAGGTCTTTTTTCCCCCTCCACTTGTTTAAATGATATGTTAACTTCTTTCTCTAGCTCCTGAGAAACAAGCCGTACATCATCCTGGCAGTGTGCTTTGGAGGAGGAATTGGGATGTTCACCTGCTTTTCAGCTCTGCTAGAACAGATCCTTTGTGAAAAGGGGTATTCAAATGTGAGTCTTCCTCCTTTCCTCCCCATTGTCAACATCATCTATGATACAATCAAAATTATTTTCCCTGATAAGGGACTCAAAGCAAAATGAAGACAGTTGAATACGCTGCACTGTCTCATATCTTATTTGCCCACATTATATAATATAGATTAAGCAGTACATTAATCCAGAGCACAGTCAATATCTCAGTATAACGGATGATCTGCATTTTCATTACTGCCCATGGCCAGGCTCCCATTTGCAAATGAAAAACCTTTACTCCTCAAACACTTTGCACGAAAAAAGAGCATTGTGTTTTTTCTACGCCACTCCAGAGCACTGTTGTCTACACAGCCTTCTGATACCTTCCCCAGAGTAGGATGGGGCCCAGGCAGGCCCTAGGGTGAAGCTGAAGGCAGACTGATGCAAGCACCTTTTCCTCTTTGCACACTTACAGGAAGCCAGGGCAGCAGAGGAAGTTAAAGATACTGTGATAGCTGTTTCCCCATCCTTCCCATGACACCGGCCAGGTGCTGCTTTTACAGTTGAGCACAATGTGTACACAGCTGGTTCCTCCTGCTGTCTCCCTGCAATAGCAAGGGGCTGCCCCAGCTCCTGTGTTTCCCCTCAAGCAGGCAGCACTCCAGTCCTGCTGCTTGTATCCTCATGGAGGTCCTCTTAAAACACCTCTCCAGTTGTGTGTCTGGTCTCTGTCCACTCCCTGTCAACTCCCAGGTCTGATACCTGGCTCCATGCTCCGTAGCCCGGTCACATTTGCACACCCAATGAGCTTTTAACTGGAAACCTTTTAAACTTTGCAGCCTTGCTTTCTGTGCATCATGATGCTTTTGTCTGTGTGTGACTGGCTTGCCCTGGCCCTTTAGCCCACAGCAGCTATTCCAGATATGCTTTCCTTCCAGTCTGCCCCTGAGGCTCCCAAAAATGTTTGCTCAAATTTATTAAAGCTTCCCTGCTTTCAGGATTGGTGTCTGCATTTGAACTCTTATGGAGCTGAAGGAGCGGGACAAGCAAAGATAGTCACTGCAGGCAAGAGAGCATGTACCTTATCCTAACTACTGCTCACTGCCTCTCTAATTAGATGTCCTTGCTACAGCCAGGCAATGCTGTGTCTCATCCAGCACGCTTTGGGGCTGCTAGCCTTGTGGAAGGCATTCTGCCAGTGCAGGTTACTGGTAAAAGGGCCAGGAGCATGATTATAAACAGGAGCAGATCCCAAGGACCTGTTACCACTGGTGTGGACAACGCACCTGATTGCCCTGGAGGAGCCAAGAACAGTCTCATGCCTGGGCTGGAGCATTTAATGCCAGGGAACTGCTGCTGCTCTGCACCCAGCCTCCATTGTCATGTCTGCAGAGACTTGTCATCCACTGAGACCTTGGGAGTGCTGTGACCCTGCTGCCCCACACACTTGTAGCAGTGCTTGGGCTCCATTATTTGCTACTCAGAGCCCTGTGGAGGCCTCAGCTATTGCAACAGGCAGGGAAGCTTTTCCTGCCTCTCAGTAAGTGACCCACTAGCAGCAGGCACATGGGTCAGTGGCATTAAAACCTCTTTCCTAACTGCTATAGTTGCTCAGTTACTTGTTCTTCTGCCCTCCAGGAATTTGCTGGACTGAATGGTGCACTGTTTACAGTGTGTGGTTTGTTGGGTGCTTTCCTGCTAGGCCTGTATGTCGACCGGACAAGGAAGTTCATAGAGTCCACCAAGATTTGTTTCTGTCTGAGTGCACTTGCCAGCATCGTGTTCGCAGTGGTGAGTTCTCGCTTGCATTGCACCATACCTGTGGGCTTACTTGGCTTAGTTCTGTTGCCACCTGATAAATCATCAACCCAAACCAAGGTCATTTGATGTCATAGTATTTATTAAGCCATGTGTTATGCCTGTGCTAGGAATGTTTTTAAAGAAAACCCCTTAACTGAGGATTTCACAGTCACTGTGGAGCCTGAGACAGACTGCTTCAGGATATAAATCAATTGGCATAATCTTACTTCCTTACATTGGATCACCATGCTTGTTTACTGGCCCTGAGACCATTCTTTCCAAAAAGAAATTGAATTTCTAAATATCCATCTTACAAAAATGAACAAGAATGCCATAGTTTTCCCAACACTTGCCTTTAACAGCAGTGGCTGCTAGGAGTGTAAGATTAGCAGAAAGGACCTAGTTACGTGCCTAGTTCCTCAAGGAGGACAAGACAAAGGAGATGTAGAAAAGGTGGACACTTAAATCCAGCCAGGAGAGGAATGCAGAACCTAGAGACTTTACACCCATGGAGCTGGAGTGCAAGTACTGCACTGAAGCAGAGTCATTGCCAATGGGAGCCATCACCCAGTACGAGGCACAGGACTCCTAGCAGACTGGTGTAGGTCTCTGCTTTCCCAACAGGCTTGGGCTTTGCATTTCTTCTGTGTGTTGAAAAATCCAGACTTTCAATACAGTGTGATCACAACTCCTGCTGGGCCAAGATCCAAGTGACGTTAGCTCCACTTTGAAGGGACAGACAAATGCAATGCCTTTCTCAGTGCAGGACAAGGTGTCTAAAGCAGACCTTGCATTTCCCCTTTTAGTAATGTCGTGATTTAACCGCACCCAGCAACTAAGCACCACACAGCCGCTCGCTCACTCCCCCCTTGGTGGGATGGGGGAGAGAATCGGAAGGGTAAAAGGGAGAAAACTCATGGCTTGAGATAAGAACAGTTTAATAATTGAAGTAAAACAAAAATAGAACAGTTAAATAGGTAAAGCAAAAGCTGTGCATGCAAACAAAGCAAAGCAAGGAATTCATTCACTACTTCCCATGGGCAGGCAGGTGTTCGGCCATCCCCAGGAAAGCAGGGCTCCATCACGTGTAATGGTTACTTGGGACGACAAACGCCATCACGCCTAACATCCCCCCCTTCCTTCTTCTTCCCGCAGCTTATATACTGAGTATGACATCATATGTTACGGAATAGCCCTTGGGCCAGTCTGGGTGAGCCCCCCTGGCTGTGCCCCCTCCCAGCTTCTTGTGCACCCCGCAGAGCAGGGAAAGCTGAAAAGTCCTTGACCAGTGTGAGCGCCGCTTAGCAACTATTTAGCAACAGCTTAGCACTACTGTGCAAGAACGAAAGCATCAGTGTATCATCGACCTTGTTTTCATCCTAAACCCAAAACACAGCCCCATACGGGCTACCAAGAAGAAAATGAACTCTATCCCAGCTGAAACCAGGACAAGTACTCTGTTGGGGAGATGCGCTGAATACAAGTAAGCATGCCTGAGCTCAGGTAAAGCACAGAGTAGGCAAGAGGCTGTGTCAGGAGCAACAAGCAAACCTTTCCCTCCTACCCTTCCCTCCATCCCTTTCATCCCATACAGATGAACTACTAGTTCAAAGTAGTAAAACGAGAAACACCCATTCAAGTCTGCTTGATGCTTTAAACTTGGATTCCAGACACACGGAGTTTTCCTTGACTTTACCAGTTTAGCTGGACCAGGCCTGCTGCAGCCATACCAGGACAGACACCTCGTGTTCCTCTGTGGGAATTTATTACATGGTTAAGGAAGGAGGTACCAGCACCGTGGCTGCAGGATTTATGCCCTTGACTTTACTAGCATTGGCTGGATAAGGCCATGCTCTTTCCTCCAGAGTTAGGGACAAGGCCGTTCTAGGCACTAAACTAATCTCTAGGGTTTGTGAATGTTTCAGGTGTTTTTTTTGTTTGTTTTGGGGGGGGATTTTTTTGTGGTAAAACCCCAATGTTACAAACACGAGTCTGGCATGATAAGGAAAATATTCGTTATCCAATTATTATTATCCAATAATATATTTATCCAATAATATAATTATCCAATGAGCTGCAGCAACCCATATGTATGAATTCTCATACGTAACCCAATGCAGACACCACACCTGAAATGTTAGCTTGCATTGGGAGGAAGGTGTGTGTTTCACTTGGTGCTGCAGATACACTGAGGACACTACTGGTAAGTTACTAACCAGGAAGTCAAGTTAGAGTAATTCGACCACACCAATGCTTTTCAGGTAATTCTGCAGATCCTCTCTCCCCTTGCTTAAATTCAACAGATAAATCTCCATCGTGTAGCCATTTGTTGACACTAGAGGGCTGGAGGTAAAAGGTTTCAGGAACAGTTAGGGAAGGTAGTGGTGAGAACAGTGAGCCCTTGGGACTTCCTGCAGGTTATGGGTTCAGAGACTTTCTGCGCAGCAGTGCTGATGCTGAGACTTTGGTGTTGCTTTTCCGCCTGCAGACTTCTCGGTTCAGACATCAGGCTGTCACGCTGGCCATCACCAGCTCGCTCTTTGGTTTCTTCGGTTTTGCCATCTACCCCATTGCCATGGAGCTGGCTGTGGAGTGCTCCTACCCCGTGGGAGAAGGCACATCTACAGGCCTGATTTTTGTTGCAAGGTAAGCACGCAGGTTAAATCCAATTGACAGCTGAGCTTGGGTTCAAACACGCACACACACACAGAGGTGTGAGTGCAGACAGTGCAGACATCCAGGGCTAGCCATCCTGCT